TGTACAAGGAAGACCGCTGAAGAGATACAAAGACACCCTTAAAGCCAACATCAAGAGCTGCAATGTAGACCCAAACACCTGAGAGGAGTTCGCGGGAGACAGACTGCGGTGGAGGCATTTATGCTCCCAGGGCGTTCGGAACTTCGAAGCCGGTAGAGCAGCCGCCATCAAGGAGAAGAGGGCCCGAAGGAAGCAACGCTCTGCCCCTCTTGTCTCGTACCCCTGCAGCGTTTGCGGACGTTCGTGTGCATCACAAATTGGCCTCCATTCACACATGAGGTCCCACTCTCTCAGATAGACCTGCATGCCTACTCATCTGTCGCCCCGGCAGGAGAGTCCATAATAACATAACATAACATAACATTTACCCCAAGTTCAACCACTCAGGTAAGAAGATAAATAATTATGTTTGGTGAGTAGAGGATCCAGAGTTTCGTTTGTATAATTTTTGATTGGTTGCTGAGGAACGTTAATACGTGTGAGCTATAAGAAATATTCAATACGCGCTGTTTGGATAGTCGAAGTAAATAAAATACCTTCCAAATTGCAATTTGCCTAAACTATTGAAGTTAGTAACGATAAATTCTTTGATAAGTATCTAGTCTTAAAATAACACCTGAAAGCAATGTTCAAATGAGCTATAAATGTTCGGAAAGAAGGAAATAAACATGAGATCAAATTTATAAATATAATATTACCATTAAAAATTTACCTAAATTTACATAACAATGCCACCACTACATATCACACGTGTGTATATATAGGAAAACAAAATTATGTTATCGTGAATGCCTAAATGCATGTCAAAAAACTTGTTGGCAGCGTTGGTATATAATTCATTGTTAACATCCAACCTGATTCATATCATTCCCTTTCTGTAAATTGTTCCGTTTACCCTTTTAATACAATGTGCCTGTAGCTTGATTAGCAGTTAGATCATTTGAATGTATAATTTTTAATATACAATGCTTGATTTTGAATTACCTGTATATTTTGTAATCATTTGAATGGGTAAAGGATGATTGAGTATAAATGATTACATATGTATTTTATTGTATTATAAAAAAAATTTCACCGTAAAAATTAAACCTAATCAGCCTACTAAACATTCATAAGATTTAGTATACATGCTGTGATGCGGCGATGCATGCTCGCTCGACATGTATGTAAAATGTACTTAAGTAATGTAACATCTCTACTAAAATCTCATTTTTCTTTGTATAAACGTTGTATTTCCGGGATTTCTTTACAGGAAACTCCTTAATTATAGGCGACATGTGAATGCTACGAGGCAGATCATTTTCGATGCTAAGTAGAACAGGCTGTTTACTCGCTTCTGCTTAATACATGATGGAAGCTGATTCTAGATTAGCTTAAGTTTGGAAAAGGACAGCTCTCCAAAACAGTTCGAGATCATGAGAATAAGATAGATCTGTAGTGCAATTACAATGTTCGGAAATGCAGTTTCCAGATTGTATTCCAGACGAAATCTGTGCATGCACAATTCCATTTGACATCATTTGTCATCTTTCATTGTTTTATTTTTGCCGTCAGATTGAGCAGAGGATGTTTCGTTCACCCTTGTTCATCAATGCGTCAAAAAATATTTTAAAATTAAGATAGCGTGGGGCCCCTAAAGCGCGGTGCCAGTGGGCGGACGTCCCTTCTGCCATATGGCTAATCCGGCCCTGGCTATGATAACTTTAATCTGAATACACTTTGCCTACTCGTTCAAAAATTACATCGCTTTTAAATTTACATTTCACTTTGCAAAAAAAAACATTGCAAAAAAATATCACTTGTGCCCACGAGCAGATATTGTAAAAAGCTGCCCGCTCACGCAGCCAATCAAGTTGCTTGAAATCCAAAAAATATCGCTTTCGACGGCTAAATAAAAAATAATAATGAGTATTATGACAAACTGAAATAAATTGACTTAGTACTTGCTTGCAATTACATTTATTAATCAATTTAAAATGAAAATGGTTTTCTAGCTTTACCACATCATCAAAGGACCTAAGTGTTTTTACTATGGCCAATGCCACTGATTATTTGAATGTGAATACCAATAGTTATATGAATGCCAATACCGATGACTATATAAATGACTGACAATACCAAAGACAGAATGAATGTCAATATCAATAAATACATTAATGTAATTATAAATGCAAGCACCAATGCATTACAATACAAATATGCCAATACCAATGATAGTATGAATCTCAATACCAATAACAATATAAATGTTCATACCAAAAGCTATATTATGTCAATACCCAGGGGTGGATCCAGATCGATGCAACCTATGTGAATGCATTGGTCCAATTTTTAGATATTACAATCTGCGGTATGAACATTTATATTATATTGCATTTTAATGAAATAAATAGTTAATATTATTTTTAAATTATTTAAAACACACATTTAACGGTGATATATTGTTTACTTAAATTATACATATGGTAGTGCCAGTTTCAAGCTAAAATTTATTCTAAAAAACATTTGTGTTCTCCAATAATTTTGCCGTATTTCGTGATACAAATAGCGAAAGAAAAGCCGATAAAATTAGCGAAACTTTGGCGAGAATACGTAATTACTAAGTAATTTAGTAGTATTGCCACAAGGCCCATAACGTTACGATAGATGGAAGATGCATCGGTACGTCACAGTACATTTGCGATGCATAGGTCGATGAATCAATCCCAAGTCCTTTTCCTGTTTCAAGTTTTCACGTCACGGTAGATTTTGCCACTGAGCGATCGATTTTCCATAATTTTGTGATTGTGGGCACATGGCACCGATGCATTGCATTTGAACTCTGAACTGTAATGTTATTATTTGATCCCTTGATATAACTTACGAACATCGCTTAAAGCCATGGCTGTAGAGAAAAGAAATCTTTGGATACTGATGGAGTGCGTCGAAGTTGTGATACGAAAGCTGCTACTTTTATTTCAAAATTCTCTCGAGATAAGTCATACGAAGTATTAATTCCTGAACACTTGACAGTCCATTGGCTAAGTTCAGTTCAAAGCAAGTAAATTTATCTTTATGCGTTCTTGTTTTATATGTAAACACTGTATTCCCTTCAGGCTCAGACTGTAGTCATATATAACGATGAACAATCATCAAAACATATACGTGTTGCCATATTACTTATACAGCACTTATGTTTATATTTATATTTAACACTTAGTTCACTCTACTTAGCATTTGGATGGTTAGGTGTTAGCTGGTATGATTCAGGGGAGGCCTGGGCACCTAAACTCTGTTCCTTGGGTCTAGATTAGGATTCATGTTCCTGACATCCAAATCTGACCACTCCCTCTCGACTAACACCTTCACACTGATATGGTGGAAATAACGATAAACATAAATAGACAGTCGATAACAACAACAACAAAACAAAAAAAAATTGTACTTCACTCAATTTGCTTTCCTGCTTACTGCTATAAGTTCTCACTGTCGCGTTACAAATGGTTATGATTGACTCTTAAGCCTACACCTCACATACCCCTTTCGCTGCCTGCTGCGTTGACGTTTGCATCTGTCGTCACCTAGCTGTTAACTTTGCCTATTGCATATCCTCACGTAATATAATACAAACTATATTATGCAAGGATGGGTACGATTTAAATTGCATTTTATGGGTTTGATTAACTGCGTTTTTTTGATAAAATTTATGCTTAAGATTTTTTATGACCTTTCTCAAGTCGCTGGAAATCGCTTCTCCTACTGTGAAAATTCAAAAATTATTTGGGGGAGCATCTCCCAAAACCCCCCACCGACGCCTCGAGTCTTCGGCGCTCGCAATGCATCGGTCAGCTTAAAAGCTGGATCTGCCCCCGTCAATACAAATTGCTTTATACATAGTTAATGCAAATACCAATGCACAGCTATACAAATTACAATATTATGACTATATAAATGTCAATGCCATTCCCCCATAATTATACGAATGTTACCAATGACTATATGAAGGCCAATATCAATCACCATGAATTTCAATACCCAGGTATTAGATGAATGTGAAATTGCTTCATATTCATTCAACCCAACAGCTTGAGATACTGTAAGGTAAAATAGATACATCATAATGACAGTGGCAAGACAAAGTTGCAACTATTTTTCACAATTTTTGCGAGGATAGTTTTGGCTTTTGCATGATATTATTTATACAAAACAGTTTATTTCAAAAGACGTTAATACTGTAGAACATGGGTATTTATAAGACGTTAATACTGTAGAACATGGGTATTTATCCCCCCCCCCCAGACATCCACTGGGCTACCCCACTTTGACACAGCATGATGGTATACTGTATTTCATAACAAAGCTGCACTTATCAATACGACTTGCAGCTGTGCCTTTTGTATTTTCTGTATCGCTTAAAGTAGAATAGCTAGCAATTTAGACACAAAATTGATATTGAGATATATGCACTGTACTGGATTTTCACACACAACTTTGTACCCGGAATTAACGCCAGAGCTGGCGTCTGGCTTATATTAGACTGTATGCAGAAATAGAAAACTTTTCAAACATCTAGAATTATTACTGAAATTAAAGAAAATCTAGTTAAGCTTTTGCCGTTATGCCAAATGGATGTGTTGTTACCAGTATTTTCATAAAATATGCAATTCATAGAAAAAATTTTCACCGTTCAAAATTAGACTAACGGAAATTGTTTGACAATTTCGTATTATTATTTCCAATTTAATAAGCCTGAGGGGTCTTATAAATTTTTATTCGACAAACCACCAAAACAGTAGAAAGCCCATTTTCTTATACCCCCACATAAATTTACTTTTTCAAGTGAGGAAAGTAGTAGACGCTCTTTAATTACGCTTCCCCTTCCAAGAAAAAGAGTCCTCACTACGCCTCTGCTACTTAACATAACTGTCCACAGGCTATTTTGTTTGCAAAACATCCATTTTGTAACTGAAATATGAAACGATTAATTGGTGTTGTTTGTTATATAGAAAGCTAAATGCATATGCCCTAATAAGGATTTAATAATAACATGAAAACAATGCTTTATCAACATCCATATAGAGCTTAACTGTAGTCGCAAATTTCAGCAGTACAATTCCAATAGTGACAAAAGACATTCAATAAAGCTAATTGACACGCTTCTCAACTAAACTAAGGGAACTAATGTCTAATTATTTTTTGCAAAAGAAAAAACAAGAGTTGAAAAGTTTTTTTACGGGAGAAAGTACTCGCGACTGAATATTCTTCAATTTTCTTGTGATTTTCCTCGAAGAATTATTTGCAAGTGAAAGGAGAAAATGTTTAGCTTTGCCTGTTATTGTGGTTTTCTTTGAAGAATTATTAGCAAATGAGCAAAGGCTTGGTTTTTCTTTGCCTGCTTCATGTCTACATCCAAATTTCTTGTTTCCATATTTGTCTGTCACCATTACTTTGATGACGCTCGTGCGTGGATATTTCCAAGTACCAAATGCATTTATTCTTTCTTGAGGGCCTGACAAGACAGTATGAACAGGTTCAAAGTGCTCAACAGACCTGCTCCACTCTATCGAATACAATCCATCAAGTTCAATTTCTGCTTTCCATTTGTATGTCAAGTCCTGAACAGATCTCATAAGATTTATTGTGATTTCATTGTTTGGAAGAACGTAAACTGTGACATCTGTTGTATCTGCTATTCTTCGTTCTTTTGTTATTGCTTCTCCCATGTACAAAGATTTTGATTTAGATAAATGCGAGGAAAAAGAAGATTTGATCCCTGGAAGAAAAATTCCTCCACTAGACACCTCCAGATTTGAACTAAGTGTAACTCTCGAAGACGTTCCAAAAGTCGTAGTGAGGGTGGATGCTTCAGAAACTGATACAGTAAGTTGCTTTCGACAATTATATCCTATTTTTAAGCTTGAGCAAATAACTGGACGAAAATTGGCAATTGATTGAAATTTCAATTTTTTAAATGGTGCTTTATGTGTAAGTTTGAATTTCTTTGCGTTAAGTTTCAAAATTTTGGCATTCGAATCCCAAATATTTATACATTTAAATGTTCTGGCTGTCAATGATTTGTCCATTGCATTCATAGAGCATTTTTTTAAATTCTCATTTAGATCTTTTAATCTTACCACCAATTTTGGGCCAATGTAACTACCCATCTTACAGCAGTGGTACTCTTCTAGGCAGTAAAGCTCATCGCAACTACTTCTATACAAACCAGCCATATAATATCCTGATGGACAATCACTCCATCCTTCATTGTTAAACGAGTCCCAGACGTTTTTTGTTTGGCAATAGCCCCATTGTTTTACTTGAGTATTAGGACGACAGCAAAAAGCTCTCTCAATATTATATAATCTATCACCAGCAGATCTATCGAGCCCAGCCATATAATAACCATTTTTACATTTTGACCAGCCCCTGAGATTAAATGTTTGCCAATCTTCATAATAACAATCACGATCATACGATGAGGAATACAAATATCCTGGAGCGTCATAACAGTCCACTTTTTCAATTAGACCGATTCTATCGAAACTTTTTCGACTGTTTCTATACATTCCAAACATGTATCTTCCACGTCCACAACTTGACAATCCTAAATGATCAAATGTATGGGACCAGTCCTCGAAATGACTACTACGACTAGGAATATTAGCGAGACCTTCCATATCTGTTCTGTAAGCTCTGTTGGTCTGCCACAATTTTGCCAATCTTTGAAGAACATGTTTTGCAATATTTATACCACCAACAATACTAACAGAATATGAATTACGTCCACCACAGCAACTGCTAGGATTGTGACAGTTTGAGTAAGCTCTGCACGAAGTGTTGCACATTGAGTCATCCACCTTTTTCCCTTCAGGATAGAGATTTCCACAGGTACATGAACTTCTTTTTGTTGCTGCAATTATGAATTTCAGACGTTTGCATTCATGTTGACATCTGTAGTTGGAATTGGAACGTCCGAAATACCTGTAAGTGGTTCTTCCTTGGAGAGATGAAAAACATCCGTTGACAACATATGTCTTGGCAAGAGATGTTGGAATTGTTAATTGCCACAAAATTGCTATTAATGCTAAACTTTTAAGCAGAACCATGCTCTAAAAACAGAAAGATTTATTAAGCCATGAACAAATCACATTCATTATTTCCTTTTAGAAAACGAAATTATTTACCAATATTCTATATTAATTAGTCGCTGGGTCAGAGGCCAGGCGACTATAGCGTTTAGACACGCATTTTACTGTTGGATGACGGATTTGTTGATGTTCACAAATTGATATACTTCATGAAAACAGAACAAAGAATTCAAGATGGCGGCGATGTGGAAGAGATATAAAATGGATAATATTGTATTTAATTTGTACAAAGAAAAAGAAAATCATGTCCCAAAAGCCATGACGTTATTATATCAACGATACATGCACAAAACGCATGTCAAAATTAAGTGGTTAATATCATGAATTTTTTACAGGAATCATCAGAATATGGCCTGGCGTTCTATATTGTTTGAAATTTTGACGAAATGCTCTTTGTGAAATTACGTTTTGTTAACAAAGGTTAAATATTTGTAGTAGTATTTTACATGTGTATAAAAGACGAGAGAACTAATGAGGTCTCATTTGTGGAAAATATATCAACAATGATGCTCAAATAAACTGATTTGCATTATTCTGAAAAATTATTCAGAAAGTTCAATTTTGCTTAACTAGGGCAACTGTGGTTCAAGTAAAATTACTGAATGCTTTACATTACAGAAATGTACAATTTTATTGTTCTCCTCATTACAATGTCAAGACTTATTATACTAATGACCAAAGATTTTTATTTGGAAAATAAGTCATATAAATATTTCAGTCTTATATTGTCTACAATTATCTTAACATCTTTCAAAACTTAGCTGTAAAATCTCAATGCTGTTAGTGCAACCTGGTGCAGTATGAATCAATAAGTGATATTTTCTGCTTAGCGACCTACAATTTCCTCAATTACTTTGTTTATCCAACTGTCAGCAGAAGAGTGTCTTTGTTCATTTTACAAAATGCAACAAATAGAATTAACTTGGATTGATCAAATTTAATTCGTATTTATTTTGAAATCATTAGTAAATAATCATGAGGAATGAATTCTTAGCGTGTGTAATGATGTTTTTTTCTGCGTTTGTGATGTTGTCGTAGGTTGATGGATGGATAAAAGTCTACAATGTCAAAGGATATGAAGGTGTCGTTTTTTTTGTGTTTGATAGATTTGAACCACTGGATCACAGATGATGGGTTTTTCCATTGGTTAAATGAGGTTGTTTTTATAATGTTGCTGTTAATTCTGTCCAGTATTTTCTTGCTAATTTTACCAATTTCGGATTTTGTTGGGTTGATAAGTTGCCCACAAAAATGCATTCATAACACTCATAGACTTTTATCCATCCATTAACCAAGACCTACTAAACAAAGCACTGGATTTCGCCTGAACCTACGACAACATCACAAACGCCGAAAAAACATCATTATACACGCTAAGAATTCATTCCTTATACACAACCAACAACTCTGGCAAAAGAAACATAACTCTACATTCGACGTCACAATGGGTAGCTTCGACAGTGCTGAAACATGCGAACTCGTAGGAAGCTACATCCTTTCTCAACTGCAAAACATCACAACAGACATAGGACTTTATTGAGACGACGGACTTGCCGTTTCAAACACCACACCACGAGAAACAGAGAACATCAAAAAGGAAATATGCCGCATCTTCAACAACAATGGACAACAATGGGATAATAATAAATGAATACAAAAGCATGTGCTAGATTATATATACAAGAGGAAGTTAGGGTAAAAATTAAGATAGAATTACATAATATGTTGAGTGTATGGTTACAAATTCGATAAAAATGCCTTGTGTCTATGGCGACAAGAGGAGATAAGTTCGTTACGTTTGTTGAGTGATGATAGTTGTGGTTGGTAGGTGAAAAGAATTTTTCTTTCAGGCATAGGTTGCATCTTTTGTTGGCGCTGTTGTACGGTTTGCTGTGAGTGATGATATTCCATGAGATATCGTAAACGATGTTGTTGTCTTTTAGTGTCCATATGTGTTTGCTGAGTTCGGTGGAGTTTCTTAGTTTTTTTGTGGCGGAAAGAGGTAGTGTGGTTCCTGTGTCGAGTCTTAAATTCGTTGTCTGTAAGTCCAATGTAGGTCTCAGTTGTGTTAGTGTCCAAACGTTTAACAGTTGCTTGGTAGATGACAGATGATTGTAGGCAGATTCCGTTAAGTGGACAGTTTTGTTTTTGTTGGCAGTTGCATGTTTTAGTTTGTGTATTTTTGTCATTGATGGTGTCATTAGTATTGTCAGGTTCTCTCAATATGCGTTTGTTATGGTTATTAATAATTCTATATTGTTCATGCAGCTGTAACTTAATTTAATTGTGTCGCGGTTAAATAGTTTTCTGAGTTTGTGGTCTATGGGAAAGTGCTTGTCAATTAGTGAAATGAATTTATAGCCGATGTTTCTGCTGACGTTCTTGCTGTATGGTGGGTTGTACTAGAGTATGTTATTTCTAAGTCTGTTTTTCGTAGTAGCGTTCGGGTCATATTTCAGTGTGTAATGATATCCATTTTCGTCAAGTGCTTTTTGGTATGGAGGAATTGCTTGGTCGAATGATGCTCCGTCGGATGATAAGGATGAAAGGCGTTTGTTAATGGTATCGGGTATGTTCTTTGTAATGCTTGGAGGGTGGTTGCTTTCGTGGTGGATGTATTGCAAAGAGGTGTTGGGCTTAGTGTAAGGTCGATTGGGAAGAATTCTATAGATTGAACGTGATGTCGAGGAAGCTAATGACTTTGTTAGCTTCGATAGTGATACGCAATCCGTTACTGTTAAAGACGCGGCATATCTCCTATTTGAATTTTTCCGTTTCTTTTCGTGTTGCTTTGGTAATGGCTAGTCCGTTGTCACGATAAAATCCTATGTTAGTGATGATGTGTTGTAGTTGTGAGAGGAGATAGCTTCCTACAAGTTCGCTTGTCTCGGCGCCGTCGAAGCTGTACATTGTCAGGTCGAATGTGGAGTTGTATTTCTTTTGCCAGGGTTGTTGGTTGTGAATGAGGTATGAATTCTTGGCATGTATGATAATGTTTCTCTCTTGGTTTGTGATGATGTCGTGGGTTGAGGCGAAATCAAGTGCTTTGTTTAAGAGGTCTTGGTTGATAGACGGGTAGAAGTCTACAATGTCGAAAGATATGAAGTTGAGATTTTGTTTGTGTTTGATGGAGTTGAACCACTTGATGACAGATGACGAGTTTTTCCATTGGTTCGGCGAAGTGGCTTTTATGATATTGTTGTTTATTCTGTCAAGTATTTTTTTGCTAATTTTTCCAATTTCAGATTTCGTCGGGTTGTTTAGTCGGCAGGTGGCCTTATTTGCAAAGTTCGGTTTGTGATCTTTGAGTATTATGAATGCGTGTTTGTTAGCGGTGGAGTCTACTCTGTCAGATATACCCAGTTGTGATATACCCAGATTTTTGTCTTCGGTGTGGATGGCTTGTATTGCGTCGAAGTTTATTTTCTTGTATGAATTCGTGATATTTTGTTGTAGGAGGTCGTTGTATGCTGGCTTGTCTAGTTTGTAGAAGTTTGTTGTTTTGTCGGCTGCGATAAGTAGCTTTTCTTCGTGTTTGATGGCTGTGGTGTTGTATTTTATTTCGGTGAGAAATGCGTTGTGTACTTTTTTAAATTTTACTGATTGGATCATCTTCATCATGTCGTTTTCGAATTGTTTTAAGTCAATCGGTGGAGGGTTTTTTGTGCTCTTGAAGCCATAGGTGTCTTTAGGAAGCTGTGGTGGATCTCGGGTTGAGAAAGAAATAAGCCTTCCAACGCATATTACGTAGGAAGGACTCAGATTTTTCGATGAGTCGTTGCAGGTATTCATTTGGTGATGGTAGAGGAATATTCTCGATGCTGTAGTTGAAGTTTAGTTTCTCCACTGCGGATTATCATACAGTGCTCGATAAAATTTTATATTGGAGCGTGATAGGAAGCTTAGTTTATTTGAATCTCCGTAAGTACAGTGCACGATGCTTAAGAGCAGAGCGTAAATGTTGATGAGAAGAAGAAAATACACAAAAACTACAATTTCATCCCGACAAGCCTGTTTCGCGTTTTCTCACTCTTTAGGGGATAATATTAAATGAATACAAAAGCATATCCTTTTGTCGCCATAGACACAAGGCACTTTTATCCAATTTGTAACCATACACTCAACATATTACGTAATTCTATCTTAATTTTTACCCTACCTTCCTCTCGTATATATAATCTAGCACATGCTTTTGTCACAGAATAGATATATACAGAAGCGCCACTCAGCGAAAAATCTGTCCCCTACTTGTACCCAGTTCTTAAGTGCGCATCTTTTGCGTCCGCCATTACTCCAGCCAGATAAACTGGCCAGAATGTATATAGATTAATATTATGAAGAGTTGTTTTTCGAAAATTTGACGAATTTAAATTCACTTATGGACAAAATTTTTAATGCCATTGGATAGGATACCAAGCATATGAGCTGAGAAACAGTTTTGTTGTAAAATACGTTCTTCAAATATAGTTTTACGGGTTTTATAGTTTCTTGCCTTGAATTGTATGCGAGATCCATGTTTAGAACGTCTCTTATATTGAACGGCAGTTGCCCTAAGAATTTATAATTTAGGACAAAAGTAATAAATATATTTAGTGTGATTCCATTTCTGTATTTTCTAGTAAAGAGTTTCCTATTAGAATGGTCAACGGATTTGATAGAAGCGATAAAAGACCTACTGTGCGTAAAGAACGTTCTTCAAATGAAGACGCTATTAGTATAAAATTTGGACTAAACTAATTTATATTTGATTCTTGAATCGGGGCTTTTTATTTGCAATGTAGCTTGTCTGCATAATTGTAATTGAAAGTTTTTATTTGTAATTGTATATTGAGTTCCTGTGGCTATCATGTCTGTCACATTTGTATTAACTT